AGCCTTGGTTTTGCAACCAGGGCCAAAAAATCGACTGTTGTTTCTCTTCTGTCCAGTCCTGCTTCTCTGCTTTCTGCCCTGGTGACTGGACCTTGCTGCCAACTGCGAAGAAGTTCCAGCACTATAGGCAGGCTTATCAGAAAAGTCGCTGCACTTTCTCCCCTTCCCCTCCTCCTATAAGGAGCTCTGGTGGCGGCAGTAGGAGGCAGCTTCTTTATCTCTCCCAGTCCACCACCTGTCACCCAGGGTTCTGACCTTTGGTAGTTCTTATGCACAGATCCCACATTGAGACATGCTGGTGTGCAGTTTGGGTGTTTTTTGTTGAGTTTTAGATGTTTGGCTTATTGTTTTTTAAAGGGGAGAGATCTGAGGACGTCTCTCACTCCGCCATGTTTCCCCACCTTTCCTCAGGAATCTGCATTTCAAATTTGTTGTTAAATGTTCTTCTAAGTAACTATATAAACTGATATGTTTCATGGAGTTATTGGAATATAGATCCAAAATTAAATTTTGGATACCATTTATCAACTATGATAATTTTAGTTTTCAAATAGGCATTTCTTCTGGAAGAATTTTGTTAAATGCTGCATTTTTCTCTACCTATGGAAACAAAGATTAAGATAATAATCGTTAGTATTTATTGAGCACTTACTATGTGCCAGGCATCATATTTAAGCATAAACCCTCTGAGGCATGTACTATTGCCATCCCCGTTTTATAAAGGAAGATACTGAAGCAGAAGGAGGTTAAGTACTTCTCCGGGCAAATGCAGCTAGTATAAGGTAGAACAAAATGATAAACATTCATAGGTGTTATATTTGAAGACAACTGTTTCAACACATAATCCCACTGGGAATTCAGCATCTTGACAGCGGGTATTTATTATGTATTTTACTTTAAACAGAAACATGCACATCGATTAGCTCAAAAGTGTTCTTGTCTTCATGCAGTAAAGAAAATCTATGCAAGATAAGAACATGTGGTATACAGGGAAAGCCAGGCATAGCTGGTATTTGGCTTCACTGCTGGCTAGAGTGTAAACCACAGGCAAATTAACTCATTTCGTTATGGGTGGCAAATGAGTCTCCTGAGAGAATCTCAGAAATCCTTAGGGAGGGAACCCCATAAAGTCAGGGCTTGCTGCAGTCACATAAACTGAATATTCAAGGTGATAGAATGCAGGAGATATTTAGGTTAGCCAAGCAGGATGAAAAATGGTCTGGAAATAACCATGAAGAGCAGAAAGATGCCCCAACCCATCCCCTGCTGGGACTATGGAGAAAACAGTGATTAGGGCACAGCTGGTTTCCAGAGAGAGACTAGGTTTGGTGAATGAGAGAACCAGAGAGCTAGAAGGAGAGTGTTTCAGTTATTCTTGCTGTGTAATATATAACCTCAAAACTTTAGAGGCTTAAAACAACAATTTTTTTTTTTCATGGTTCTGGGAATTGACTGGATTTAGCTAGGCGGTTTTCACTTGGGTCTCTCATGCGTTTGCCCAACCTGGAACTACAGTAACCATGTCTGGTGACTGATGTTGGCTGTCAGCTGAGATCTGGTGCAGTAGGCTGGAAAATCTCAGTGCAGCCTCTCTGTGTAGCATGGGCTTTCTCACAGCATGGCAGCTGGGTTCAAAGAGCAAGCACTTCAAGAAGGCGACAGAGAAGTGATATCACCTTTTATAATACACAATGAAGAAGAAGATAATGTGGGATAGGAGATAGTGTTGCAGCCATCTTTGAAAATGCAATCCTCCATGGAGTTTAAGTACAAAGAGCGGAATATTGGAGTGTAAGATTTCAAAAATCTGGCCCTTCAAAAGGATCACAAGGGCAGCTTAAGTGGAATGGAAGCAAAGATCATTAGAGTTGAGGAAGATATAGGACGATGAGTCACGGGAATTGCATGGCCATCCTCATGGACACTGATATCTTCAGGAAAGTAGAGAACTTGAGAAAGGTATAGTGAAGGCAGAGAGGGCAAACACTATTGTAAAACCTTTCTGGGTTTTTGCCTTTTGTTTTGGGATGATGAGAAAAGTAATCTCTTAGGGGGGACTTCTCTTTTATTTGGGAAAAGATATTTGCTATGGGCCATTGTTTATGCAAATATACTAACATTTTTTTTCAGGGCTCATTCAAACTGTACTTACTGGGTACTTACTGTGATCAGGTCCTGTTCTAGATGCTGATACAGTAGTTCACAAAGCAGACAAAGATCTCTGCCTTTTGGGGCTTATATTCTAGTGAGAGAGACAGAAATGAAAGACATTTTTAAAAAATATATAATACATATTATTATATGGTGATAAATGCAAGGGGGGGGGGATCCAAAAATCTATGTGCATATTAGTTCATAGCATAGGAGTTAAGAGCATGGATATGCGAGCCAGAGTGCTAGAGCTTGAGTCTTAGTTCTGCAACTTATTAGGTATGTGATTTTCGGCATGTTACTTAGTCTCTTTAAGCCTCAGTTTCCTTATCTGTAAAACATAGATTTGTTGTCAGGATTAAATGAGTTGATGCAGATAAAGAACTTAGAACAAGATGATAGGGATATGAGGCCTGGTGATGGGCTTCAGGCTTCCTACTGGAGCTCTGGAACCAAGCTTAGGCTTGTGGTCAGGGTGTCCATGCTGGGGTTCATGGATTTGGGGAGGAAAGGTCCTGAGTGGAGACACATTTTAGGGGCCTCAGGCTGCCCCGGAGGTATGTCTAAGATGGCAGTGTGCAGATAGAATCTTAGCAGAATTTAACCCTGGGTCCAGCCTACTGAAGAATACAGGGAAATACCTGTTTTCACCTTGAGGCAAGAACAAGGAAAGACCTTGGAACTCAATTACTCTGACAGAGTAGAATGAAAGGGGAGGGTTGGTGAATAACCCGTTCATTACATTCTAGTGACAAAGAGATCATCCATGTCAAATCGAAAGTGGTTTCTCAGGGAGAGGCCACATGCGCTGATGGAAAGACGGGGAACACTTGAATAAGACAGGGCTGGGTACTAACTACCTCTTACAGTAATTGGGCAAATTACTTAACTCTCTGAGACTCACTTTTCTACCTTGTACAGATCTTATGAATTTTAAATGTAAAATATTGAGAGGCTGACACAGTGCCTAGCACGTAGACATGTGCTCAGTAGACCACCTCTTTACCTTGTGAGTCAGTAGGTCATTTGTGTATATGGGATGGTTTACTGGTCCACTCCTCATCCAGTACTTTAAAAATGAGCATTTCCTCTGTACTGACAATGATATCAGAATCCAGTACCCCTTGAATGAGAAAATGAAACATCTATCCCCTTTTTGTAAGACATTCACTTTGAGTGGTGTTTTCCTGAAGGGCTCTATCTGCACACAGACTCTGCTATAGAAAGATTTCTGGCCAACTACTGCCACATTTCAAGGATCCTGCTGTGTCTTGTAATCTTTTCCAAAACTTTGGTTAAAAATGTAGAGTACAGCATTCTAACCCAGCAAAGCAAGTCTGGGGTAATAAATGGGCATATAGAAATCTTTTTGGATATATTTCTGGCATGGTAGATTAAGCCAACACAGAAAATACAGAAATACAAATACAGAAATACCAGATAAAGTATTCTAAGGAAAAAAAAAAAAACCCCACATAGTGGAACTTGGCCTGAAAAAGGCCATTGAGTGAGCTTAAAAGAAGATTCGCCAGCTTTGAGATGCCTGCAGCCTGGTCAACTTCTTGACTGCAGCCTTGTGGGATACCCTGAGCCAGAGGACCCAGCTAAACAGCACTTAAATTCCTGACCCACAGAAACTGTGAGAAAATAAGGAGTTTTGTTTTGTTTTAAGCGGCTAAGTTTGGGGTAATTTGTTACCTGACAAAAGATAATAAAAGGACACTGATTACTCAAAATCACTACATGAAATCAGATTTCACTATATGAAATCTGAGAGCTGCAACAAGGAAAAAGCTAACAATCGCCAAGAAGGGTATGTTTCTTTCTTCTTAGAGACACTAAGAATAACAGGTTTTCCTTTTAGTTTTGGCCAATAGGAAGCTCAGAGCCAAACTTATGGCTCAATTGTAATAATTGTACAAGATCCTATGGCCTGCTTATCTGCGTTCCTACTTCCGGTCTTTCCTTTTATTCTGACTTTTTTTTAATCCTGATTTTTCAGTTCATTTTTATATTTTTCTATATTACATGAATTATGTTAAGCCATCTCAAGTTCAGCTTAGAGTCGCAAAACATTCAGAAATACTTTTAAAAAAATAGTTAAGTTTGCACCTGTTGAACACGCTGTGCCTTGAAGTGGTGGGGGAGGAGATCAGATAATGCAAGCGTAGCTCAGGGGTCTAGACATTTCGCCAAGATTAATTTGGATTAGGTCATAAAATATCAAGTGATTAAAAAAAAGGATAGCAATTGATCACCACCCCCACGGTGGCGAGACCAAAGGCTCACCAAGTCATACACGGTAGTATCTTTGAAATTTATTCATTGCACCCAGTCCTCTAGGGCCCTCCCCGCCATCCCTTCCCTCCCCGCTCCCCTCTCTTTCCTTCCCCGTTCCCCTCCTCTCCCTGTTCTCTCTCCCCCCTCCCCTCCCAGAGCACTGCTCCTCCCTTACTCTGGCCCCGCCTCTCCCCTAGTCCCCGCCCCCTGCGTGCGCTGCACCGCCTAGGTCTCCGCTTGTCAGGCAGGCCTTCCCGGCGGTTGCGCGCTCCGCCCCTTCTTCCGCGCCCGCGCGCGCCGTCTCCGCCTCGCCTGGTTCTCCTTTCGGGGCGGTTGG